TATATATCAAGAGCGTATAGTATAAAGAAAGAGAGCGTACAACGGTGAAATGCTGAAACCATTTTGCAGTATTAGTCGAATTAATAAACTTTCGCGAAAGAATAAATTTTGACGATTCTTTGCAGTATTATTGATCAGCGGTCGTACCTTATTAATATAAAACAAACCGCATGTCCCTACAATGCCCCTACGCTGAGATAATGAGCGGTAAAAATCTGGTATTTTCGCCGAAAACCGACTCGAGATAAGTGTTTACTGAGAATGTCTCTCGCTTTGAGATAACTTCGGGAAACCTCGCGTGTTTCCGTCAATGATTGACAAATGGAATGAATAACGTCTGATATTGATTGCCATAGTGATGACCCCCACCTGTGCCCACTTCACGCTGGATGTGTAGTAATCTCTGTAGTACTGACGTGAATCAGCGCTACCATGGCGCGACACAGCGGCGACCGGAAGCAATACACTGGCCACAAAGCGAGAGACAGTCGCAGTAAACACTGATCTCGAATCGGTTTTCGACGAAAATACTAGATTTTCACCGCTCATTATCTCAGCGTAGGAGCATCGTAGGGACAAGCGGTTTGTTTTATATTAACAAGGTAAGACAATAATACCGCAAAGAATCGTCAAAATAAAACGGGCAAAGTTTCTTAATTCGACTAATACTGCAACATGGTTTCACCATTTTACCGTTGTACGCTCTCCTTCTTTATACGCTCTTGATATATATATATATATATATATTCATAAATATTACGACAGTCAACGCAATACCGCGAGACAGTGACTAAGTCACGTGTGACGATCACCACGTGACCACTGACGTCACTCGGGCATCATGGCGGCGCGACATCCTGGCGCCATTTGTGGTCTATCGTGAGGGGGTGGACGCTGGTCGGTGGTAATCATGTGGGCTAGAACGAGCCAGCGACGAGTTGACAACGCGGCGATCCCGCGCTATAGACGCCCGCCATACAGCCACATCTAATGTCGCATCAAAAACAACAATGTAGCAGTTATTCAAATGTAGCAGAAAATTCAAATTTATGCAGAGCCTCCCGAGGCATGGATGCGGGCGTGTACGCGCGCGCGCAAACATTGCCACGTGCACACATGTCTGTGTGCACACACGCCGCGAGAGAGAGAGAGGATGTAGGATGAATGGTGAGATATCAACGCTAAGAAACTCTCTTCCATAGAACCATCGGAGAGGATGGATAAAGAGAGAGAACGAGATAGAGAGAGAAAAAGAGAGAGATAGACACACACACACACACACAGATCTAAATCTAGGGATAGAGAAAGGTGGGGAGCGAGATGGAAATAAGAGAGAAAATGGAAGAGAGAGAAAGAGAAAGGAGAAATAGTGCATTGGGGAAAGAGAGAGAGAGAGAGAGAGAGAGAGAGAGAGAGTCAGAAGAGAGCGAAATATTATATAATATAGAGAGGA